TTGCACATTGAGCTCACAGACTTTAAAACAAACTAAATGGAATTCAAATAATTGAACCGATGTTGTTTAAAAAATGAATAATAACCAACATTTTGATTAATCGCTCAGCACAAAAATCTGTGGAACAGACCTAGCATCAGGGGCCGCAGCTCTGGTTCTGAATGGTTATAACATTTCCAGAGATTTGCCATGTTTGTAATTTTGCCTTTCCACGGCTGTTACTGCTAATTGCGAAACAGCTGTCTTCACTATTTTCACTTTCACCCCTGTGGAGGTATGTAAAAGGTCTACGATCCAGAGAAACATGTTATCTCACAAACCCAGAGCTTGTTTTAGACAAGATAACATCCTGAGTGTTCTCTTGCATAGCCCTATCTGTGCTTAGTCATTTTGCATATACAAATAAATAAATAAAAAAGCTATCTCCCAGTGGATTAATTAGACAAATCATAATTTCATAATTTCCTACGCCTCAGTTCATGTAAACCCACAGGGTTTCATAAACAACGGACAAACAGGGCTGGAGAATGGGACAGCATATGGACAAATATGGTGAACTACATGGTACAATACTGTATGGTGCAAAACAATTTACAGTTGAGTGGGTCTGTTTTGTAAATGCCTCTAGACAATCCGGCCATTTAACTCCCATAATGATAGCTAGGCAAAATGCCCAGCCTCTGCAGGTGTGCCATTATGTGTAGTAGTGATGAGTGGGGGAGTGCTGATTTGCTCTATAGTTCGGAAAGTGTACGGTAGTTAGGTCTCATGCAATGTGTTACATTGTGTGACCCTAACGTCTGAGAGTTTGCCAAGCCCTCCAAGTTCAAGGGGTGACAGCTGTACCAAAATGATGAATTCCCAATGACACTGATGAATCTCTTTGAAGATCTCTCTTTGGCGGAACTTGAACCTCTTCAGAAGAATTCCCAGAGAGGGATATATCATCATCACTTCACTTCCTGGGATTGCTTTGGAGGCGAACTCCAAGATTAATCAGAAGGCTCCTTGTGATTGTGTTTCTGTCCCCCCCTTCCATGGTGACTGGGAGACCCTGTGCCAGTGTGAATGAGCACCCTCTATTATTCATCACAACACTTCATCTTTGAAATCTCTATCTTTTATTTGTGATGTTTGAGGCTGCCGTGATTAGGCCAAAAAGTGCCTGCAATATCATGTTGCATGGAAACATGGGAACACAGTAAACCCTAAACAGTCTCTCTAGCTCTCATTCTGAAGGTGAGCAGTACCGAGATGCTCTGTCATTTGATTTGTGAGCTCAATGTGCTAGGCCAATTAAATAGCCTGTTTTACAGCTATTCAACAATATTATGATGACATTGACAGCATTGTAAAGACAAATGTCACATTCATAGGACTGTCACTGCTTCCTACAAGACCATTATGGGGACAACAAAGTGCAATACATCAATAGCATCATCTACATACAACTACACAACATGTTGCAAGTCATGCTGTAAAAGCTGTCACATGAAAATATATTTACAGGATTACTTGCATCATTTCTACAAGGCTTCTCACACTGTGTACATACCTGTAGCATCTTAGTTTAAACCATGTAGAGGATGAGGACCAGCCTAGATATAGGGAGATTCTCTATTGGGAATAAGTCCATCCTCTCCTCGACTCCTCCGTCCTCCTCTCCTCCTGATCCGGAAACCGATAAGTTGTTGCCATATGTCAATTTGTTAATAGGTGAAGGAGGAGTTTGCTCCTCTCCTCGATAGCCTCTTCCAGCCGAGGATTCTTATGTGTATCCTACCGGAGTCCTACCAGGAACAGTTTTGTAATCCGTTTTGTAATTAATTTATAAAATGTCTGGTACAACTAGCTAAATTTGTTTGCACCACTTTATACTTATTTATGGATTCCTCCTCTGTAAACATAGTTTGTCTGATGACGCGCTTGTGGAGGAGAGTCTCATTTCATTCAAGTGCATTTGTTTCCACGTTTCCTCTCCTTGATTACATTGACCTTTTTCAAAAGGAGGCAGGAGAGGACAGAGGAGAGGATGCGAGGAGTCGAGCAAATCCAATTGACAATCTCCCACAAATGTGGTTAAATATATTGGCATCCTTGCACGATTCACTATTTTTTCAAAAATACGTTTAAATTGAACAAATTTGGTGTTCACACGTGTATTTGTTTGATTTACATCTGCACAGGACCAAACATTTTTATTTAAATATAAACTGAAATTTAGATTTTTCACTTCAAAGTCCAAAAATAAATATTAATTATTCAAAATTCTAATTAATTTGGTTGGAGGCAAGTGATTCTCAGCAAGTGTAATTTATCACACGTGGTAATTTGCAAATGCCAACGGGGTAAAAATAGCCATTAAACCAGCCACTCAACCAGTTAGGTTGAGATCTGGTGACTGAGACGGCCATGGCATATGTTTTACATCATTTTTATGCTCATCAAACCTTAATTAACTCAGGAACCACACCTGTGTGGAAGCTCATGCTTTCAATAAACTTTGTATCCCTCATTTACTCACGTGTTTCCATTATGTTGGCAGTTACCTGTGTGATGTGATTAGCTGGTACGTAAAATTCCTATCCAGGCATAAGATCTGGCATGCGTCAGCAACGCCTGGGCAGAGGAACGTGTACTTTACCTGCACCAACAGCTCTCCTTGGATGAGGAGGAGATGTTGAGCATCGTAAAAGGACCTGGAATAAACCATTCAAACCTCTAAACAGGTAGCCTGTTCTCTATGAACATAGCCATGTTTAGTATAAACCTTTATACTGTATATACGGTCTATGTCTATGGCATAAACATTAGCGTTTCCAATACTAAGGCTAAACATTTAGAAATAAATTATATTATAAGAAAACACACTCGCCGTTTGTTAATTTATATTACCCTACAAAGCACAATGTTTTATCTTAAATTAGATATAGCAAGTATGTTTGTGGCAAACAATTTAGCAAACTATGAGTGCTGTGAGGAGAAATGGACAGAGATGTCCGACGTCGTCACAACATGTTAAACTCTTACAGAGGATCCATCACATACTTTAATCCTTTAAAATGGCTGTTAAATATCACCTGCACGCCAGGTATTTCTAAATATTGACGATTTCAGCGTGAAGAGGGGCTTAGAACTTGTTCAAGATGGGTCAATTGATTCCCATAGAATGGTTCTCCCCAACACATTGTCTTGCTCTATTCCTATCAGTCAAGGACAACAGATTACAGCAGCGCTACAATCAGGACCCTGGGCGCATATGGGACTCCAGAGGAGATAATTAAACAACTTTAGATAATTCCTAATTAAGTTTGTCACGCCTTCTCTTTAAGAAAAAATTAAGGGAGGAAGAGAAAAGTTCCCGCAAAGCACACTTGTAATTAACCAAGCCATGTTTTTTCAATTAGTGCACAGTGATTTGATCAGTCTTAGGCCGTTCCTTGTGGTGTGTCTTTAATGGCACGCAGCTAGAGAAGCCCACAGGCAAACTATGACTTATACACTACATGACCAAAGGTATGTGGACACCTGCTCGTCGAACATCTCATTCCAAAATCATGGGCATTAATATGGAGTTGGTCCCCACTTCACTGCTATAACAGCCTCCACTCTTCTGGAAAAAGGCATTTCCACTAGATGTTGGAACATTGCTGCAGGGACTTGCTTCCATTTAGCCACAAGAGCCTGAGTGAAGTCGAGCACTGATGTTGGGCAATTAGGCCTGGCTCGCAGTCGGCATTCCAATTCATTCCAAAGGTGTTCGATGGGGTTGAGGTCAGGTCTCTGTGCAGGCCAGTCATGTTCTTCCACACCGATCTCGACAAACCATTTCTGTATGGACCTCACTTTGTGCACAGGGGCATTGTTATGCTGAAACAGGAAAGGGCCTTCCCCAAACTGTTACCACAAAGTTGGAAGCACAGAATCGTCTAGAATGTCATTATATAATTATATGCTGTAGCATTAAGATTTCCCTTCACTGGAACTAAGGGGCCTAGCCCGAACCATGAAAAACAGCCCCAGACCATTATTCCTCCTCCATCAAACTATGAATTGGGGCAGGTATCGTTCTCCTGGCATCCGCCAAACCCTGATTCGTCCGTCGAACTGCCAGTTGTTGAAGCATGATTAATCACTCCAGAGAACACGTTTCCACTGCTCCAGAGTCCAATGGCGGCGAGCTTTACACCACTCCAGCCGACGCTTGGCATTGTGCATGGTGATCTTAGGTTTGTGTGTGGCTGCTCGGCCATGGAACCCCATTTCATGAAGCTCCCGACGAACAGTTATTGTGCTGTCGTTGCTTCCAGATGCAGTTTGGAACTAGGTAGTGAGTGTTGCAACCGAGGACAGATGATTTTATACACGCTATGCACTTCAGCACTCAGCGGTCCCTTTCTGTGAGATTGTATGGTCTACCATTTCGCGGCTGAGCCATTGTTGCTCCTAGACGTTTCCACTTCACAATAACAGCACTTACAGTTAACCGGGGCAGTGCTAGCAGGGCAGAAATTTGACAAACTGACTTGTTGGAAAGGTGGCATCCTATGACGTGCCACGTAGAAAGTCACTGAGCTCTTCAGTAAGGCCATTCTACTGCCAATGTTTGTCTATGGAGATTGCATGGCTGTGTGCCCAATTTTATACACCTGTCAGCAACGGGTGTGGCTGAAATAGTATCTTACATCAACCAGCAGTTAGAGACATTTCAATGGAGACTTCTAAAGGACAGGCTCTTTTTTTAAATGTGCAAAGGATTTGGTTTTTGGGAGAGGCTTTATATCAATAATAGATATTAGAAATGTTGTGAAATGATGATGTGATGATGATGATTAATTCTCTTCAAAGCCTTTGCCTTGTAGATGTTTCATTGATCTTTATTTATCTCACTGTGCCTCTCACATCCTTATATCAGAAAAATGACCCGTATTATGTATTGACTCTCTCCCTTTCTTTCCTCCCTCTCTCCCTCTTTCCCTCCCTCCCTGCATTCTGTAGATGTGTCGGTGAGCCTGCTGTCTCTGGTGGTGACTGCCTGTGGCCTGGCCCTGTTCGGGGTCTCCATCTTCGTCTCCTGGAAGCTCTGCTGGATCCCATGGAGGGAGCGTGGCCTCTCCCCCAGCATCAAGGAGCCCACCCATGGGCACCACGATTCCCCCATGGCACCTTTGCAACCGTACGTCCCAGCCAGGGAGCCAGTCTACACGGCCGTCGACCCACCCGTCCCCGCCCTCGACCGCCGTGAGTCCCACCGCTGTTCCATCGTCCCTGTGGCAACTGGGACCTTGACGGGGCCGGTGACCCCCGTATCGCCGCCCCCCACAGCGGCGATCATCCCCATCCCAGAGGCAGCCATGAAGATCAGCCACACGTCTCCAGACATCCCCCTGGAGTCCCAGAGTAAAGGCCGGGAGAACGGGGTCCAAACCAACCCTCGCATACAGAGGCAGACCACTGAGCCCTCACCCTCCGTCCGGTCAATGTCTATACACACAGAGATTGGGTGAGTACTATATCACAATCCTCCACTATGATGAAGACACTACTGTGCTATGTACTCTGCTTGTATACTGTAGTACCTACTATACCAGGGTCCCTTACAATTTAAGACTGCTACTAAGACGGCTACTTTGGTTTCATAGTACATAGTATTTAATTAGTTCACCACAAAGGTTATCACAGTAGGTACAGTTGAAGTCGGAAGTTTACATACACTTAGGTTGGAGTCATTAAAACTAGTTTTTCAACCACTCCACAAATTTCTTGTTAACAAACTATAGTTTTGGCAAGTCGGTTAGGACATCTACTTTGTGCATGACACAAGTCATTTTTCGAACAATTGTTTACAGACAGATTATTTCACTTATAATTCACTGTATCACAATTCCAGTGGGTCAGAAGTTTACATACACTAAGTTGACGGTGCCTTTAAACAGCTTGGAAAATTCCAGAAAATGATGTCATGACTTTAGAAGCTTCTGATAGGCTAATTGACATCATTTGAGTCAATTGGAGGTGTACCTGTGGATGTATTTCAAGGTCTACCTTCAAACTCAGTGCTTCTTTGCTTGACATCATGGGAAAATCAAAAGAAATCAGACAATACCTCAGAAAAAAATCTGTAGACCTCCACAAGTCTGGTTCATCCTTGGGAGAAATTTCCAAATGCCTGAAGGTACCACGTTCATCTGTACAAACATGGGACCACGCAGCCGTCATACCGCTCAGGAAGGAGACGCGTTCTGTCTCCTAGAGATGAAAGTACTTTGGTGCGAAAAGTGGAAATCAATCCCAGAACAACAGCAAAGGACCTTGTGAAGATGCTGGAGGAAACAGGTACAAAAGTATCTATATCCACAGTAAAACAAGTCCTATATCGACATAACCTGAAAGGCCGCTCAGCAAGGAAGAAGTCACTGCTCCAAAACCGCCATAAAAAAGCCAGACTACGGTTTGCAACTGCACATGGGGACATAGATCGTACTCTTTGGAGAAATGTCCTCTGGTCTGATGAAACAACAATAGAACTGTTTGGCCATAATGACCATCGTTATGTTTGGAGGAAAAAGGGGGATGCTTGCAAGCTGAAGAACACCATCCCAACCGTGAAGCACAGGTGTCACGAATTCAGCCGATGCTGACCTCAATCCTATAGAACATTTGTGGGCAGAACTGAAAATGGGTGTGCCAGCAAGGAGGCCTATAAACCTGACTCAGTTACACCAGCTCTGTCAGGAGGAAAGGGCCAAAATTCACCCAACTTATTGTGGGAAGCTTGTGGAAGGCTACCCGAAACGTTTGACCCAAATTAAACAATTTAAAGGCAGTGCTACCAAATACTAATTGAGTGTATGTAAACTTCTGCCCACTGGGAATGTGATGAAATAAATAAAAGCTCTCTACTATTATTCTGACATTTCACTTTCTTAAAAGAAAGTGGTTATCCTAACTGACGTAAGACAGGGAATTCTTACTAGGATTAAATGTCAGGAATAGTGAAAAACTGAGTTTAAATGTATTTGACTAAGATGTATGTAAACTTCCGACTTCAACTGTATAAAGCTTTCAGTACATTGCCACTCCATGAGTACCATAGTCCACCAGGATTGGGGTCAATTCCACAAATGTAATTCTAATTCAATTCTCTCTCCCTGTAAATTCAATTTAATTTAATTCAAATTCCAGATCAGTCTTTGAATTCAGAGATAATTCAATTCCTCTGAATTCCAATGTTAGGTTTAAATTCCAAGAATTCCCTCAGGGTTTCAGGCTGATCATGTCACTGTTCAAACAGCCTAGACTGGAAATATAGGAATACAGGTTGAAATTATTAAAAATAAATCCTACAGCACACGTTGTATACTATTTGCGATCATTCCTTTAACTGGGTAATGTAAAAATATTCAATTCCAATTCAATTCCAAAGATTAAAGGTTTTTACAGTTCAAATTCCATTCCAATTCAAAAAGTCCAAACAGTCTAATTCCAATTCCATAACTTGAAGATTTATTTACATTTCAATTTAATTCAATTTACTAATTGAATTGGAATTTGAAATTAAATTGGAATTTACCCCAACCCTACAGTACATATACAGTGGGGAAAAAAATATTTAGTCAGCCACCAATTGTGCAAGTTCTCCCACTTAAAAAGATGAGAGAGGCCTGTAATTTTCATCATAGGTACACGTCAACTATGACAGACAAATTGAGAAAAACAATCCAGAAAATCACATTGTAGGATTTTTAATGAATTTATTTGCAAATTATGGTGGAAAATAAGTATTTGGTCACCTACAAACAAGCAAGATTTCTGGCTCTCACAGACCTGTAGCTTCTTCTTTAAGAGGCTCCTCTGTCTCCTCCACTCGTTACCTGTATTAATGGCACCTGTTTGAACTTGTTATCAGTATAAAAGACACTGTCCACAACCTCAAACAGTCACACTCCAAACTCCACTATGGCCAAGACCAAAGAGCTGTCAAAGGACACCAGAAACAAAATTGTAGACCTGCACCAGGCTGGGAAGACTGAATCTGCAATAGGTAAGCAGCTTGGTTTGAAGAAATCAACTGTGGGAGCAATTATTAGGAAATGGAAGACATACAAGACCACTGATAATCTCCCTCGATCTGGGGCTCCACGCAAGATCTCACCCCGTGGGGTCAAAATGATCACAAGAACGGTGAGCAAAAATCCCAGAACCACACGGGGGGACCTAGTGAATGACCTGCAGAGAGCTGGGACCAAAGTAACAAAGCCTACCATCAGTAACACACTACGCCGCCAGGGACTCAAATCCTGCAGTGCCAGACGTGTCCCCCTGCTTAAGACAGTACATGTCCAGGCCCGTCTGAAGTTTGCTAGAGTGCATTTGGATGATCCAGAAGAGGATTGGGAGAATGTCATATCGTCAGATGAAACCAAAATATAACTTTTTGGTAAAAACTCAACTCGTCGTGTTTGGAGGACAAAGAATGCTGAGTTGCATCCAAAGAACACCATACCTACTGTGTGTGTGTGTGTGTGGGGGGGGGGGGGCCATGTATCGTGGGATTTTGAGTGAAAACCTCCTTCCATCAGCAAGGGCATTGAAGATGAAACGTGGCTGGGTCTTTCAGCATGACAATGATCCCAAACACACCGCCCGGGCAACGAAGGAGTGGCTTCGTAAGAAGCATTTCAAGGTCCTGGAGTGGCCTAGCCAGTCTCCAGATCTCAACCCCATAGAAAATCTTTGGAGGGAGTTGAAAGTCTGTGTTGCCCAGCGACAGCCCCAAAACATCACTGCTCTAGAGGAGATCTGCATGGAGGAATGGGCCAAAATACCAGCAACAGTGTGTGAAAACCTTGTGAAGACTTACAGAAAACGTTTGACCTGTGTCATTGCCAACAAAGGGTATATAACAAAGTATTGAGAAACTTTTGTTATTGACCAAATACTTATTTTCCACCATAATTTGCAAATAAATTTATTAAAAATCCTACAATATGATTTTCTGGAAAATTATCTAATTTTGTCTGTAAGTTGACATGATGAACTACAGCCTACTCTCATCTTTGTGTTTTGGCTGACTAAATACTTTTTTCCCCCACTGTATGTCTACTGTGCTTCTGAAGTACAGACACCATAATTGGTTTGCGACTTTGGTTTGCACATTGTTTTGCACGAGTGAAATACACCCCGACAGCTCATTAATTAATTTGAAAAAATGTTCTCCAGATTCTTCATTTCACCTTCAGAACATTGTAAACTTCATCCACACTTAGGTAGAAACCATGACTCACTCCGTTGTTAAAGCCCTGTGTGACACAAAAGAGGCAGTTGGAAAGTTCTAGCATTGATCAGGTTTAGAGCACTGAACAGAAGCTCAGACTTAGCAACCCAGCAGCTGTAAGGCAGCTATCCCACTGAGTCTTATGGAGTCACGTCCTCTACAGCAAACAATGTTCTATGAGTAATTCTGCTCCCAGACAGCCTCTTTGTATCAATGAGTTTCATTTTAGTTGTTAGTCATTTGTTTGTGGTTGAAGGAAAGTCTATCCTCTGTTCAGCACGTAACACTTACCCAAAACTCAGCCCTCTTGAAAAACTGAGTAGAGTGAATTGCTATTTTTATCGATTGTTGCTTGAGCTGTAACGGTCATATTTACAGAAAGCCTTTGTCTATTTTATTCAGGTACTCTGTTGTTGTATCAAGTACACATTTGCTGTCTCTCTGTGTGTCTCATCTCACCTATGCTAACAATGGTAATGTGTCTCTTTCTGTCTGTCCTCTACACAGGTCTAACTCTATCCGTAGATTATCCGTAAACAGGTCCAACCCGGACTTCAACGTGGCCCAGTTCCAGAGACAGGACTCCCTGACTGGGATGGGCCTGGGTCTGGGTCGTCTCAAACCAGAGCTTTACAAGCAGCGCTCCCTGGAAGGGGATGAGGGGGGCCGGCGGGGCGGAGGCTGCGGACGCCTACACTTCATTCTCAAGTTCGACTGTGACCTGGAGCAACTCATCGTCAAGATCCACAAGGCGCAGGATCTCCCCGCCAAGGACTTATTGGGCACCTCTGACCCCTACGTCAAGATTTACTTACTACCGGACCGGCAGACCAAGCACCAGACCAAGGTTCACCGCAAGACCCTCAACCCTGTGTTCGATGAGGTATTCCTGTTCCCCGTGGAGTACGCTGAGCTGCCGACGCGCAAGCTGCACTTCAGTGTCTACGACTTTGACCGTTTCTCGCGCCACGACATCATCGGCCAGGTGGTGGTGGACAACTTCCTGGATCTGGTGGACTTCCCTGCAGAGACAAAACTTTGCCGGGACATCCAGTACGTCTCCACGGTGAGTCAGCACGTCCTGTTTGATCACTTCCTGTTTCCGGCTTTTAAGGGAATGTTTGTTCTGCTTAAATACCCTGTTAGATTTACTAAGATAAGTGGTCAATTATAAACTATAGCAGGATATTCATTTCGGATTATACATTTTTACGGCACTGTACTTGGTTGAATGCCTCATTCATTTTTCAAGATGAGCCACAGTAAGCTCTCAGTGAGTCGCTTCATCCGCAATAGAGAAAATGGACTCAGTTTTCAGCTGGGGTTAAGGCGGCGCTAGTGTCAAATGTGCATTAGTTAGCAATTTCGTCATGTAAAATCTGACGCACTGGCATTTTCCAGCCCTAACGCCGGGTTCTGCAATTTACCTGTCTTGTATCAGCTCGCTTGCGCTCCGATGGGAGGGGTGGAAATATTTGAGTTGTGTCCTTAAAAACATGATTTCAGGCAGCGCTGTTAGGGATATGTAAGACCAACCAAAAGCTGGTTTTAGCAGTAACACAGTTGGTTATGGCATTTTGACAGCAGAAACACAGCCTATCTAGCTGTGACACACACTGCCCATATGCGCATGGAACAAGAGTAGCCTAATGTGCTTTTGGTGCCTGTATATACTTCGTATTTAGAAACATAAAAAACATATAGAAACCAAGCACAGCCTCACCTCCTCTCAATTAAGGCTTTTGTTTGTCCTGCCCAATGCAATCGCGAAGTAGTCAAGACTGTCGATAAAGGGTTTGGCTCCTGAGACCGCTTGTAAATAAATCTTAATCACCAAAGCTTTATTAAAATGTCATGTTTGAGAGGAGTAAAACAGTGAGCTGACATTCCCTTTTTATCTATGTATTGTAGGCAAGCCCACATTATTTATGCCATGCAGGTCCCATTTTGGACGTGTGAAAAAAATAAAACTCCATGTAGGCTATGTGTCAATGCCCATCATGAAACGAGAGATGAGAACCTTGGTGAATACCGGTGAACCTTGTATTTAGAAGTTATCTGTAACCTGCAACAATGGCTTGTTTTCTGTTTTATATGTTCAAAACCCAAGCCCTCCCTTAGGCCTACTATAACTAAGGCTGGTTCAACAGCAATGCCTGTCTTTTTTATCCTGGCCATTTTATGACATCATACAATTTTACATTTATTTATTGTTGTGGTTTAAAAAAACTGATTGCTGGTTTTTCATTAAATTTTATTACAACCAATCTTATTAGAATGATTCACCTGCCTGGTTTAATGGTTACAATGTCCATGGCGCGCATGCAATGCAACTTCTGGAGATGTGTGAATGGGACCTGATCTGTAAGATGGTTCCGATTATGTTAATAAAATATAGGCTGATTTGGGAGAAGTATAACGGTGATTGGACATTCTCCATTTCTCTTTATAGTGGATCTTTGTCAAGTTACTGTGAAAAGTTTGGATGTGCCGTAAAACCCTCCATAGTCTGCATTGTTTTAATATTATATGGCCACAGGGAGAAATGATGGTGCCTGTAAGTGTGACATAGCCTATTTAAAACAAGTTGTTGTTTCGTTTTGTTTAGAATTTGATTAGAATTATTTGTTCTATTTTTAGGCCTTATCAATAATGAATTTACTCTTGCTTATTGACAATGTTTGGCATGTCCATGCTCAGCCATAATGCAATTTACAGTAGGCCTAGCCCCTATATCACTGTGAATGCTATTGAAACCATGCAATTACATAGAACAACGTGGACTGCAAATGGGTTCAAGTTAATGTGTTTATCAAAGATATGTCTGCATTTTTCTATTGTGTTTCTGTAAGCCATTTAACAAACTATAACGGACTAACATTGGAATTGAAGTTGATTCCAAGGCAATACATAAAAGACTGTAAATACACAACTTGAAGCAACCACATATTTCGCCATGGAGCACATTCTGATTGGCAAGTGAGGGGCCAAGCCTCGACACACCCACAACTTGTTTATTCATCAAAACACAGCCAACGCCACCAAGTGCGCCGATAATTGTGATAGTGATAATAGCAAAAATATTTCTGACACACCCCTGAACCTATAGCGCTACCGCCTGCGCTTAGATGTACCATTATATTAGGTTTGTTAAAATAGAGCCCAATGTGTTTCATTTGTGGGAGAAAGAAGTCGTCAGGAGACATCTGACTGTGAAGACCTACCCAAGTAAGAGTGCCTTAACGTGGAGAAAACAGAAATGACTGCTAGCCAGCTCACTGAGCTGACAGTTGGGAATAAATTAAAGGAATTAGCTGGTGCGTGGAGCGAATGGATCTCCACTTTTTCAAAGAGGATTTCTCTTATGATGACTTTGTTCTTGCTGTAGTTCTGGTGCTGGTGAGAAGGAGGTTTCTTCAACCTGGAGCATAGTATCAGATCATTTTCACGACACTGAGCCTAATGAGAGACTCTGTTGTATTATTCTGACAGGTCTGGGGCAATATGAGGTTCATATTGTTGGGCAAATATAATAATCATATAATAATATGCCATTTAGCAGACGATTTTATCCAAAGCGACTTACAGTCATGTGTGCATAAATTTTTTATGTATGGGTGGTCCCAGGGATCGAACCCACTACCCTGGCGTTACAAGCGCCATGCTCTACCAATTGAGCTACAGAGGACCACATATGTCAGTACCTAGTCTTGAAATCCCACAAAGGAAAATATTAACCCATATGGTGCATAGCATGTTATTTAATGAGTCTAATTTCAGTTAGCCTAACCATCATTATTGTTTCTCCTCAGATTTTGCCTGCACATATATGTGACTGGTTACAGGTTCCTAGGCATTTGACGCTAGTTCCTACTTCAATGAGAGCCGTTTGAAAAAAATTGTATATAGGGAGAAATACAGGATTCTTCCAGGCTAGCCATGATTGGCTGAGATAGTGGATACACCAATGCCGAGAGATGAGTCCTTATTGGTGTGTCATGTCACAGGCTTCTGTGTTAAAAAGAATGGGGCTCCCTTGGTCAGTATATTGATAATCTTTTCTAGATTTTTGGAATTATATAGCTTTGGACAACTGCAAAAGTGTTGCTAAAGCATTCAACAACATTACTGCCCTGAATTTAGCTGGTGCTATCGACAAAGCTCAGTGGCAGAAAGTTGTGAGAGACTACTTTTTTCTGGAGGTGTCACGCCCTGACTCAGGGGATGTTGATTTGTTGAGTCAGTGGTGCGCGTTCCCAGTCCGGCCCGGCCCGTTCCTGCTCCCCGCACCAAGCCAGTGGTGCGCGTCGCCAGTCCGGTCCGGCCCGTTCCTGCTCCCCGCACCAAGCCAGTGGTGCGCGTCGTCAGCCCGGTCCAGCCCGTTCCTGCTCCCCGCACCAAGCCAGTTGTGCGTATGTCCAGTCCGGCACGGCCCGTGCCTGTTCCATCAGGCACCGGTCAGCTGCTCCACTCCGGAGCCAGAGCAATCCGCTCCATCGGGGTCCGGTCCAACTCCAGTCAGCGGATCCACTCCGGAGCCAGAGCAATCCGCTCCACCGGGGTCCAGTCCAGCTCCGGTCAGCTGCTCCACTCCGGAGCCAGAGCAATCCGCTCCACCGGGGTCCGGTCCAACTCCTGTCAGCGGATCCACTCCGGAGCCAGAGCAATCCGATCCTCCGTTGTCGGGTCCAGCTCCAGTCAGCGGTGCCAGTCCAGTCCAGACCCAGGGTCCAGACAGGGCTTGGTACTTCGTGGGAGGAAGGAGAGGGGAAGCAGCGCGCCGAGGTCCAGACCAGATCAGGGGCGCAACAGGGAGGTGGAGAGAAAGTGGTGGTCACGCCCGGAGCCGGATCCGCCTCCGAGGCGGAATGCCCAACCGGCCCCTACCCTGTTATGTTTTTGTGGCGCGGTCGGAGTCCGCACCTTTGGGGGGGGGGGGGGGATACTGTCACGCCCTGACTCAGGGGACGTTGATTTGTTGAGTCAGGGTGTGTATATTCCGTGTTATGTGGTGTTTTTCTATGTTTAGTTCTAGATCGTTTAGATCTATGTTGGCCAGGGTGGTTCCCAATCAGAGGCAGCTGTAGCTCGTTGTCTCTGATTGGGGACAATACTTAGGCAGCCTGTTGGCACCAGTTAGTTTGTGGGATCTTGTTCCGTATAGGTTTGTTTTGTGTAACCTCAAGACTTCACGTATCGTTTGTTTGTTGTTTTGTCGTGTTCAGTACTTCAATAAATATGTACGCTTATCACGCTGCGCCTTGGTTCCACAAATCTTTAAACAATCATGAAAGGAGGACAATGTCATGGATTTAATGTAATGGACGTACACAAAATAGTCCATATGTATTCACCCCCTTTGCTATGAGCCCCCAAATAAGATCTGGTACAACCAATTACCTTCAGAAGTCACATAATTAGTTAAATAAAGTCCACATGTGTGCAATCCAAGTGTCACATGATCTGTCACATGATCTCAGTATATATACACCTGTTCTGAAAGGCCCCAGAGTCTGCAACACCACTAAGCAAGTGGCACCACCAAGCAAGCGGCACCATGAAGACCAAGGAGCTTTCCAAACAGGTCAGGGACAAAGTTGTGGAGAAGTACAGATCAGGGTTGGGTTATAAAAAAATATCAGAAACTTTGAACATCCCACGGAGCACCAGTAAATCTGTTATTAAAAAATGGAAAGAATAAGGCACCACAACAAACCTGCCAAGAGAGGGCCGCCCACCAAAACTCACAGACCAGGCAAGGAGGGCATTAATCAGAGGCAACAAAGAGACCAAAGATAACCCTGAAGGAGCTGCAAAGCTCCACAGCAGAGATTGGAGTATCTGTCCATAGGACCACTTTAAGCCGTACACTCCACAGAGCTGGGCTTTATGGAAGAGTGTGCAGATAAAAGCCATTGCTTAAAGAAAAAAATAAGCAAACACATTTGGTGTTCACCAAAAGTCATGTGGGAGACTCCCCAAACATATGGAAGAAGGTACACAAACATATGGAAGAAGGGACTGGGAAACTGGTCAGAATTGAAGGAATGATGGATGGCGCTAAATACAGGGAAATTCTTGAGGGAAACCTGTTTCAGTCTTCCAGAGATTTGAGACTGGGACGGAGGTTCACCTTCCAGCAGGACAATGACCCTAAGCATACTGCTAAAGCAA